AAAGAAAGCCATTTCTAGGCTGAATACAAGGCAGACAAGCAAGAGCCAGGCCCCAGCACTGGGGAGGCAGAGGCAAGCAGCCTGGTCTACACCGTGAGACCCTGTCTCAAATAAATAAATACACGAATGAACAAAACTGACTGGAGATGTAGTTCAATTTGCCCGGGTCCTTGATCTTGTCACGGCCTGGGTTACGGTCTTAGAAACCTGGCTGTGACACCGTTCTGTTGTCCCAGCGTTTGGGAGACTGAGGCAGGTGGATCAGCACAGGGCAGTCTTCTCTTTGTCAGGTGTTAGGAGCAAGCCAGTTTGGGCTTTAGGACATTTTTGTCATGAGAGATTGGGGGTGGGGGGGGGGAAGGAATGAGGACATAATCCACAGGACATAGTAAAAATGGTGTGGTGGTACATGCCTCATCCCAGCAGTCCAGTGGAGGGGATCATGGGTTCAGTACCACTCTGGGCCACCTGAGGTGGTGTCCTCTCACCTCCCTACAAGAGAACTTCACTCAACTGGTCTGTCAGCCTAGCATCCTGGTGGCTTGGGCATGCGGGTTACTGAGTTTGAGGGCCCTGCCTGCGCTATATAATGAGTTCTAAACTGGCCTGACCTAAAGATTAAGATGCTGTCTCAAAAAAACAAAAGAAGGGGCCAGACGGCACACCTTTAATCCCAGCACTTGGGAGGCAGAGGCAGGAGGATCTCTGTGAGTTGGAGGTCAGCCTGGGCTACAGAGCGACATCCAGGAAAGGTGCAAAGCTACACAGAGAAACCCTGTCTTGAAAAACCAGAACAAACCAACAAACGACAACAAAAGAAGGGGCTGGAGGGATGGCTCCGTGGTTAGGAGCATTTACTGCTCCTGTGGAGGATCCAGGTTTGGTTCTCAGATCCCAAAGAGGGGCTCACAACCATCAGCTGCCCCTGACTCCAGTTCCAGGGGATTCAGCAGCTTCCTCTCCTTGAGCATAAGGCACACACGTGGTGCACGCACATACATGCAGCCAAATGCTCTTACATACAAAATAAGAAGATAAAGGGATCCCAGTACCTGGGAGGCAGAGGCAGGCTGAGTTTGAGGCCAGCCTGGACTATAGCCAGGGCTACACAAAGAAACCCTGTCTCAAAAACAAACAAACCAAGAAAAAAGACAAAGCGGGCCAGTGCGAAAGCTCAGTGGGTAAAGGGCTTTTGCCGCTAAGCCTGAATACCTGAGTTCAGTCCCCGGGACTCACTAGGTGGAGCAACAGAATCCATCCTCACATGCTGTTTTCTGACCTCCACAGGAGCTCCATGGCACAGTAACGTCTGTGTACAGACAAATAAACCAAGTAAAATTGGGAAGGAGAATCGCAGAAGACGGAAGTGGGCGTGGGATCCCCTGGCACTGGAATTACAGACGGTTTTGAATCACTTGTGGGTGCTAGGAACCGAGCTCTGGTCTTTAGTAAGAGCAGCCAGTGTTCTTAAGTGCAGAACCACCCTCCAGCGCTGGTCTCCAGACCCTGAGAGAGAACGATTGGTCTATCGCCGCTCCAGGAATGCGGAAAGAATGGAAGGAATGATTTAAAAACCAACAGGGGATGCACAGCCCGCCCACTGTAGCAGGCTTGGCTTCCAGCTGAGGCCCCGCCTCCAGGCAGACCCGGAGCCACGCCCTCCCCAGGCCCCGCCCCTGGAGCATTCATTCAGGCCCGCCCCCATTTCAGGCCCCGCCCTCTGAGTGCCCCGTATCTCTTCACCTGGAACGCTGCCCAGCCCACGCCCTCGACGCCTGTGGCCCCGCCCCCAGACAAGCCCCGCCCACCGCCTCAGGCCCCGCCTTTTCCATCAGGCTTCAAGCCCTCACATCCGGCTCCTCCAGCCCCGGTGGCCCCGCCTCCAGCACACGCACCGCCCACAACCATCCAGCCAATCCGCTTCGCTGTCGCTTTGCCCCGCCCCCACACACACTCGGGACCTCCTCGCTTGCGCATTCCCCGCGGATCACTTCCGGGGCGGCGTTAGAACGCGGCTCACTTCCGCCCGCGGCGGAGCGGCGGTGGTGGCGGCGCAGGAGGCCCGGCCGCGGTCCCGACGGACGCACCGACGGACGCAC